GTACACTGTGAAAATGTGTTGCTCTCACATTTTTTATATTCTTCTCTTTTTAATCGTTTGTATAGATATATGATATCCAGTCTGCCCCACTTTCCTCTTCCCCTCTCCTCTTCCACCATATCCCTGCCCTCCATGTTTCCAATTTACTCTGGAGATACTGTCTTTTTCCCCTTTCTAGGCAGATCCATGCATGTCTCTCTTAGAGTCATCTTTGTTACCTAGTTCTCCAAGGTTGTGACCTGTAGGCTTTATGTAAGTTTTATGACTCTTATATACTTTTGAGTCAGTGCATATTATATTTGTCTTTTGGGGTCTGGGTTACCTCACTCAGGATGGTTTTTTCTAGATCTATCCATTTGCCTGCAAATTTCAAGATGTCATTGTTTTAACTGCTGTGTAATATTCCATTGTGTAAATGTACCACCTTTTCCTTATTCATTTTTCAGTAGATGGACATCGGGGTTGTTTCCAGGTTTCAAGTCCAAATGGATCAAGGAACTGAACAAAAATAAAACACACTGAACCTCATAGGAGAGATCATGGGAAGTAGCCTTGAATGCACTGGCATTGGTACAGGAGACCACTTCCTAAATATAACACCAGTAGCATAGACACTGAGAGCAACAATTAATAAATGGGACTTGCTGAAACCAAGAAGCTTCTGTAAAACAAAGGACATTGTCAACAAGACAAAATGGCAACCCATAGAGTGGGATAAGATCTCAAGAATGCCACATCTGACAGAGGATTTAAATTATACAAATACTCAAAAAACTAGATATCAAAAGATCAACTAATACAATTAAAAATGGGATACAGATCTAAAGAGAGAACTCTCAACAGAGGAAGCTCAAAAAGCAGAAAGACACTTAAGGAAATGCTCAGCATCCTTAGTCATCAGAGAAATGCAAATCAAAACAATTCAGAGATTCCATCTTATACCTGTAAGAATGGTTTAAGATCAAAAACTCTGATAAGAGTTTATACTGGAGAGGATGTGGAGTCAGGGAACATTACTACATTGCCAGTGGGAATGCAAGCATGTATGACTGGTTTGGATACCAGTATAATTGTTTCTCAGAAAATTGGAAATCAGTCTACCTCAAGATCCAGCAATACACTGTTGGGTATATATCCAAAGGATGCACACTCACACCACAAGAACATTTGCTCAGCTATGTTCACAGCAGCATTATTCATAATAGCCACAACCTGGAAACAACCTAGATGCTCTCATTGTTAATAAAAAGTGGATTGAAGCATAGCTAGACTGGATTTTTAGGACAGAGAGAATGCTGGGAAGAGAAAGGTGGTAGAGTCTGAGGAGTCTCAAGTAAGAGATGAAGAAGAAACAGGAGGTTCAAGATGAATGAGAGGTAACACCATGTAGCAAATTAATATAAGTTGATTAATTTAAGTTGCAAGAGCTAGTTAGTAATACACCGGAGCTATCGACCAAGCATTTTTAATTAATATTAAAAATGAGGAGGGTAGCTGGCTGTTCAAATGGTATCCACTTCTGGGCAACATAGATCCAACTAAGAGCTAAGAAAAGGAAGAAGAAGAAAAAGAAGAAGAAGAGGAAGAAGAAGAAGAAGAAGAAGAAGAAGAAGAAGAAGAAGAAGAAGAAGAAGAAGAAGAAGAAGAAGAAGAAGAAGAAGAAGAAGAAAAGATTTTAAGCACACAAAAACAGAGCCAACCACAGTTTCCTGATAACTATCTTTTCTTGGGTAGACTTAATACTAGCAACAAACAGAAGCATGGCTCCTTTAAAAGAGAGTTTTCACTCTTCTATTTTCCTTTCCCAGGGTAATTCATGTGTCCCTCTTAGGGTCTGCTTTGTTCAGCCTGATATGTTTGGGTGGGACTTGGTCCTGCCTCAACTGAATATGCCAGGCCTTGTTGACTCCCCATAGAAGGACTTATATACTTTCTGAGGATAGGATAGGGATGGGTTTAGGGGAGGAAGTGGATGCAGGAGGAGGGGATGGAGGAGGAATTGTGGTTGGTATGTAAAATGAATAAAATAAATATTAGAGAGAGAGAGAGAGAGAGAGAGCGCTTCCTTGGTGCTAGCAGCAAATATATGTTCAACTCTTTTAATAAGTCCTGCTACTGAACACTTAAGCAGGTTTTATGAGCCTTGGCTGATAACATGGACCCAACAACTTCCCAGAGCTAGGGCAGTAAAATATGGCTCCCACCAGTACCTCCACCATGAAGCTAAGCTCTTAGGGAACCAAGTGGGGAGGAGCAGCTCACATAGCAGTTTAAGATTCATATCATTGAATTTCTAAATACTCTTTTTAAAACTTTTTTAACAATTAAATCATTCATTTATTTTTATTTAAAAAAAAGGCTCACAGATTCTCAATGTAGTGAAACCGATAAAAAGGTCTTTATAAAAATGAAACGCTACCCCAGATACCATGTTTATTATTTTAAAAAGGTTTAACAATAATGATAATATTAATAATAAAAAATTCATCTCATGTAATCAAAAAACAATGCAGATACTCAGTTAAGACAGATCCAGATGGAAAAGTCTCTAAATGAGTAACAGTGTGTTTAAAAATATACGTAGACTTGGGAGAGAAAAGAGAAAGGGTAGAGACAGTCATAGATTAAAAAATAATTTAAAAATAATGAAGTCCTTAAAAAATAATTAGAGTAAAATAAAAAGAAAACATTAATAAACTAGACAAGGATGAAAAATGCATAGACGCTGGATTCTGTATGTCACTGTGCTGTCCCCAGATTTTCTGATTGCTGAGAAGGAAACAACAGCTGCTAAGACACATTGGATTTTGAAAACTACTGACTTAAACCAACCTATATTATTTTTAAAATATGTTGACCTATGGAAGTCAAAAAGTGTGTTTCTTTGGGGAAGAGGTTTGCTTTTATTTCCCCAGGAAATAAAAAGCTATAGATTCATTCCAGGTTAAGGATAATCAGGGTTAATTAAGGAAGACACCCCCCCGAAAATCCTGATTTGGGACATTAAGAAATAAACCTAGAAGAACCACAAGACACATGATGTATATTTTACCTGCTCAAACATAAAACAAAAAATCATCTTTGGCTAACCTGGGTACAACACAGTCTATACTTGTACTAATACAGATATGTATGTCACCTTTAAAAAGATATGTATTTTCAGAGCAAGGGGACCAGACACCACTGAAAACAAATAACCCAGAGGATCCAGCATCTCAAAATACCTCTGTTACAGTCTTACAGTCTTCTCCGAATTCTGCATCTAGAGAAGTTCCAAGACTACTGGCTCAGATGATCCAGCCTCACAGAATATTACACTCAGGACTGGACCATAATCCTAAATTTTCTCAGGGTCCCCCAAAGCTGCCAGTGCTTACAAACAATGGAAAGCAGTCTAGAGAAAACAATGCCCACATTCCCAAAAGATGGGTTATGGATATTTGTCATTTAAGGGGAGTTAATTACAAGTTGTTATTGGTCATGGCCAGGGAAAAAGCTAAACAAAGGAGTTAGATTCAAAGATCTCCTTTTAAGGGAAAAAAAGGGATATACTATAGAAATGATAAGATAATACACCCCCAAATTAAAAATAATGGAGTAGATTCCAAAGGGAATATCTCCAAAGACAAAACCAATTCAAAACTGAGCAAAATCCACATGGACAGGAATGACCAGAGATGTCTTCTGGAAAGAGGCAGTAGATAAGACAAATATTGGGAGATAGGGAAAGGCTCAAATTCCAAAATAGTGGAAAGGCAATAAGTATGGTAACTTTATAAGCAGTGGTTTATTATCTGAACACATGTGGAGTATACAGGCTAGTCCTGGCTGGAGGAGAGCAAAGCTATCAGAAGACGGTGAGGCTAACACGTGGGGAGAATCTGAAGGCTGAATTGGACTTGCATATTTTATTGCTAATATGAAGCACTTTAAAAATGCCCATGTCAAAATGGTTGTCCTCTCGGAGTTCCTAAGAAGATTCAGCCTTTTCCACCCTCATGTCTTTGCATACCTGCTTCCTCAAAAAGACAACACCCCGAGCCGTTCCTTCACCTGCATCTCACAGAGCGGTTTCAGACATGCCAGCCCCCATCTAGGTCCCCATCTAGGACCAAGTTCCCGGTCTCACATACCCTAACAATATTCTGAGACTCCCCTCTAACATAGAAATCCTGTCTATGGGTTGTAATCTTTTTAATTGTCTTTCCCACTAAATTATAAACTCATTGGTAAGAAGGACTCTGACATATTTGTCTTTTTGCCCAACGGTGTAGCACAGAACCTGCTTTGTTGAGGTACTCAATTAATGTGTAACTGTACTAATTAATGTGTCAATTTAATTACTGGTTAATGATAAGATTCTGTTTTTTTAAACATTTAATGTAAATATTATGTACTTAGGCAAGGAAAGTAATTATTTTCATGCATCTTGACTTTTAGAGCAGGTAGCAGGAGAAAAAAACAAATCATAGTCACAACATGAAGGAACTGTCAATAATATATAAAATTAGTTATATAAACTATGAACGGTAAGTCAAAGAATTATTTATTCCATAGCTGTGGAAAAACTCCAAGCCTTTCTGCCTACAGAAAAGAAAAATCGTAAGCCCTTTGATGTAGCTAACTAGAATTTTTCAACCATATCATCTTTAAAAAGAATGTACTGCAGAAAGATTCTATAAATCATTTTAAATTTCCCATGAAGCTCTTAACATAAAAATGCATTCATCTACTCAAAGAATATATCTTTACTGTCTGGTCCCAGGAATGCTTGGTGAACAAGTCAGGTGTCCCTATTCCTATAGAGCACTAGTGGATAGAAAAACGCAGCGACCAGATGAACAAGGAAACTCACGATAATATCTAAGGATTGTAACTACACACACACACACAAAATAAGAAAGCAATATAGAAAAGCAAAGTCTGTGATAACCTGCTGTTTTTTGAGTGTCGTCGAAAGTTGTAGAAGTTAGCTCGATTTGGGAAATAACCAGGCTCGCTAAAAGATAAAACAATTATATTTTTATTTATTATCAGGGGAAATCTCACTGAACAGTAACGAGAAGTCCAAGTTCAGCTGTGCTGCTAGGGAAACCATACAGAGAGAGAGGGCATCTCCCATAGCAGAAAGCCACACCCTCTCTTGGCTCCACCTCTTAAAGATAAGTGGTTGGCAAAGATTCCCCATCAAGAAGTTCCTTCTGAAAAGAAGATCTGCGACTCTGGCCACATTAGCATTAACATTAGCATCCAAAATCAGCTCAAGACAACCAGAGGTCAGGGAAGCCAGGATAGCTGTAGGAATGGCTCTAAAGAATAGTGACTGAGGAAGGGAGGACCATGGGTGGAGACCACAAGGATCTGCAATGCTCAATTTTCCTTCAGAGAAGTCCAGATAATTTTCTGAGGGGAAAAAAATCCATTAAATGCATCCTCAACCTTCCCAAGGCCTAACACTCCTATTTTTTTTTTTTATGTTGTATTGGTTATTATTGGCATCCTCCATGAGAGAAAAGGCCTTGATTTTTGACAGGGTTTTATTCTCTCTCGCTCTCTCTCTTCCTCTCTTTCTCTCTATCATATATATATATATATATATGATAAATATATTCTCATATATGATATATATTAATCATATATATGTATGTACATAATACGTAATATATATGATATATATATTAAATGATGGCTTCATTTAATACTCACAACTATGAAGTAGATCATCATCCCATAGGTGAAGAAAAGGTGGTTTTTCCACAAGCCAGTATTCTGGTTAGTTTTTACTGTCCACGTGGCACACTCTGGAGTCATCTGGGAAGAGGGAGCCTCAGTTCAAGAGTTGCGTCCATTCTATTAGCATGTGGGCATATCTAGGGCATCTGCTTAATTGCTGGTTGGTACAGGTAAGGCCGGCCCATTGTAGGAGCACTGGCCTCGGTCAGCCTGCTCTCTCTTAAGAAAGATGGCTGAACTCGAACCAGTTGAAGGGCACGTTAAGCCGCTTTCATTCATGGTTTATGCTTCAGTGCGAGCCTATGGTCCTGTCTTGATTTCTGGTGATGACGGATTGTAACCGGAGTGGAAGGCCTAAGTCAAATGATCCTGTTCCTCCCCAAACTGCTTTCGGTCAGAGTGCTTTATCATAGCCAACAGCTTGAAACTAGAACCGGAGGCATGTCCCCTCCTTTGGTTCTAACAATGAAAGTGACCCTGTCTGTGTCACTGGTCCAGCCTCAAGCCCGAGAAGACAGTGAATGCAGCTCCCCTGTGTCTATCCCATAGTCCAGGGATCCCTGACAAAGAGACACAGTACAATCCCCTTGGTGCCTTTCAGTCTGGCTCCCTACTCCACAGAGAGGTCCAGGTGGACCTTATGAACAGCAGCACCGCACCGCCTCTCCCTCCTCCGTGCCTCCCCCTCCTCCCTGCCTCTCCCTCCTTCCTGCCTCTCCCTCCTCCCACAGCTGTCATGGCAGCTGCTGCCTAAGCCGCCTCCTCCTCCTCACTCCCTCCTCTCTTTTCTCTTGATCTTTTTCCAGTGGACTCAAAAATGCAGGCCACATCGAAACGAGGGAGTTTTGAATAGTTCATCTCCTTTGATGCCGGTCCCCAGCTGCCTACATTCTTCAATAAAAAGGCTACCTAGTTCTGCCAGAAACCTCTTGGTGGTGCCTGACCTTTTGTGGTTTGATCTTTTCTCAGCCTGTCTTTGCAATTCTCTCAAACCTGGTTTCCCTTTCTCTGAGCAGAATGCTGATTTATTTGGGAAAAGCATCATCAGCCCAGTCTACTCTTGCTCCACAAGTGAACAAGAACTGAATTGGGCCCAGCCTAGCAACAAATTCACTGCATTCCCCTCTGCTCACCCCTACCCGCCTTCCAGCAATGCCTTCTTCTGGGTTTGGGTGGTGGTGCGGTGGGGCATAGCAGGAAGCGGAAATGCAAGTACGGATGGTTCAGAAAGTCCAGGGATCCCAGTTTTCCTCTGAGGGTGAATTTCCAGACAGCAACTCTTAAGAAGGAAAGTGAAGAAAATAAAATGTAATAAACCAGAGGGTGTTCTCCTCCCGCCCTCTGGTTTCCATGGAGCCCTGAGCATCCTGTGAAGACTGATTTGAGATGGATACATCCTTACTCCCCAGCGGAAAGCGAGTTTCAGGCTATACCCTCCCCACCGGCATGCATCACCTGCATTACCTTTAAAACCTGGAGCTTCGCTCTCCGCCTTCCTCCTTCAAGGTCAGGACCAAAGCAGTCACATACTTTAAGATATTAATTGAAGTTGACTTCCTTCCTGTTTTCTCTCCTTTTCCCTCCTTCATCAAAGAAGGTAGGCCTGTTCTTTGATTTATCGCCTTAAGACAGCTTCTTAGCCAAGTCTAAAACAGGAAGCTCATTGGAGTCTTTGGTTTGAGATCTTTTAACCTCAAATCCACTGGGAACTTGGGGATGGGAGGAGCTTGAAGAAGTAGAAAGTACAGAAGAGAACTCTTGTGGCTTGTGGGGGAGGTAAGATCTTTAGATAAGGGAGAAAGGAACTGCTGGGTGTTACTTTGGGATGGTGTCATGGGCATAAAACCATCAGAGAGGTGTTTGCATGGGTACCTAACACTGGGGAGTTAGATAACCAGGATGTCAGCTGCAAAAACAGAAGTCTGAGAATCAGAGGACATTCACATAGACATGGTGTAAGTGCTTCCTATTGCCTGTCATCCTTTGATGAATTCCCAGGATGAATAAGGAGCCCCACTGATAGTGAGGGAATGCAAGTGGGCAGAGTCATAAGTCAAGTGGAAAAATCAAAATTATATTTCTTCTCAAAAGACCTTCAGAAAATGTCTGTCTTAGGCTTAGACAATTGTCTTGGTTTTTAAGACAGGCTTTTCTCGGTCCTCTTAAGTCTACCTGAGGCAGGCATGCATGCCCATGCACTCCCAGTAACAACGTTTTACTCCTACACCCAACTCATGCCAGTGGCTCATCCCTGTTTCCCTAGTAGGCAGAAGGTGGCGTTCAGACTGAACTAGACTGAAAATACTGCGCCAGTGACTTATTTTGTCGTATGTGCCCATGATGATATGCATTCTCTGTGTTTAATTGGCAATATCTCACCAAAGGAAAACTGAGTCACACACATCATCCGCTTCTCCTACACAGAACTGCCTTCCCAAAGATACTGTCAGAAACACGCTTCAGTGTTCTCCACTTCTCTCTCTCCAAAACCATAGCCTTAGCAGGACTTTATTAATTCTTGTTAATTTTACATTAATTAATATGCCATGATAAATGTTTAGTGATTATTTAAATGAATGTGTTTGAGCGATGAGTAAAAACCCAAATAGCATATATTTTGCTATCTAAATTTAGTATCGGTAAATTCTAACATGTAAAATTAAGTCTATTAATTGGACTTAATATACAATCTATTTTCTATTTTCATCACATCTTCATCACTATTTTCTAAGATTTATATGTTGTCCTTCCATGTAAATGTGTTTGGACAATGTTTTGACTAAATGCTAGCATTACTTGAACTAAGCTAACGGAATCAGGGCATTTGTTATAATACACAGCCTGTCAACAGTCATTCAGCCTCTCTTCAGCTTGGGAAGCCAACCAAGGTCAGTGACTGCTATCTAATAAAGTCAAAAGGTCTTTCAAATTAATGCTACAAGAATCACTGATTTGCAAAAGTGTTCTCTAGAAAGAAAAAAATAAAAAAAAGTTGAGGCTACAGTTGAGATACACATTCATTCTTGGCGAAAGTGCATTTGATCTTGACATTTTGCCAAAAATTCTATGTTGCTCTTCGAACACTACAACAGTATTCAAAAGGGGTCTGTTTCAGTGGCTGTGCATTCATTAGGTTACACTGCAGAAACACGGAGATGGCTGACTTTAGAGATTAATGACTGGAAACTATTGTGAGACTCCATGAACAAGACACTACCATCTAGCAGATATGGGGCTGTGTCGGCAAGCCTCAAAGCCAGCATCCTCCAACAAGGAAAGGAGACTGGCCTTCTGTGCCAGAAGAGAGTCAAAAAGGGAAGCAGCTGCTCACTGAGTGCTCCATGCCTCCTGTCGTTCAAGTCTGGGCATAACAAATGGCACTTTAAATATTTATAACAGTATAAAGGCAACTAGTGCATCCTCTAGAGGGGTCTTTAACTTTAACTCATTTGTTCTCAATCTGTGCTGTTGGTGAGAGGAAGCAGGAGCTGGAGAGATAGGGCTCAGTCGATAAAATACCTGCTGTATAAGCATGGGGGCCTGAATTTGATCACATTCAGACACATAGAAAGTTCAGGAGCTGGAGAGATGGCTCAGCAGTTAAGATCACTAACTACTCTTCCAGAGGACCCAAGTTTATCTCCCAGAAACCACACGGAGGCTCACAATCATTTGTAACAGTAGTTCCAGAGAATCTCTTCTGGCTTCTGCAGGCACCAGGCATGGAAGCGGTACACAGACACACCTACAGGCAAAACACCCATACACATTTTAAAAAATTAAGCAGTGTTGTCTTATTCATTGGCAATCCTCATCTTTGGGCCCACAGGCTCGCTAGGTTAATCCACAAACCCCAGGTCCCACTTAGAGACCTTGTCTCAAAAAATAAAACAAGGTAGACAGTTCCTGGGAACAGTGCCAAGGTTTTGGTTTTTTTCTAGAAGTTTTACATAGATTAAAAACATTTAGAATCTACCTTTTGTTGCTTCTTGCTGGCCATAATAGCATGATCTTGTGAAGGCGCCTTGCCCTCTAGTCTGTACTCACTCTCACACCCCAGTGGAGTAGACACCCCGCCCAGCATTTTATTTTGTATAATTCTGGCACTACCAACAATCCCTAGGCTTTACTTAGAATGCATGCTCAGATACCGCTCGTTCACCTCTAAGGGACCTCTAAGCTATGAGCCCCGCATCCATACCAATCAATGTGTTCCGACTGGTTCTGCCCAGGCAATTAACCCCGGGATTTACAGGCACTGTTTAAGTTTTATTCTGTGATTTTATTCATCCTGTGCTGCCTGAAACAGAGCTTATTATTTTAAAGTTTCCCCATCTACAGCTTGCGGATCTACGTTGCTCGTCCCCTTCCCTGGAGTGAAGGCTTCAGGCGCTGGACCATCTGCTGAGTGAGTCCTTTCACAAGGGGACATTCTCCCCAGTGCTCCCTTCCCGTAGCAGAAAGTGAGTCCTAAAAAAGGAAAAAATTAGGTCTCAGAATATCTTTTCAAAGGAGATACTCAGTAAGCCCAGGAAGATTTTTAACAGCACTTAGCAGAGAAACAATGGGCTTTCTCTGGTCTCAATGCACAGGGCCTCTCTTCCACACTTTCTTTCTTACTCATGACTCAAACGCTAACTCTTTAAAAGGCTCTCAGTGTCTCATGCTGGTAAGACAAGGAGGACACTGACTCCAGATGAAGAGTAAGAAAAGTACATATAACTCAGGTCAAACGTTTTTACAAAATATGTAAAGACAAACAAATCAATTAACAAACAAACGATGGCCAGTATAGATCTATTCGCCTAGGCAAAGCTGTACGTATCTAATAGAATGTTAGCAGGTTTATTGCTAAGATATATATTAGGCAACAGTTTGGATTCTTATTAATTTACTTATTACATTTCCCAGCTTTGTATTTTCACAGCAGCAAATTGCACTTCGCAGTAAGTTCACCCAAAGTAGACTAAGAATGGTAAACCGCTTGTTCTATCTTTTTTCAGATAGCTCAGTTTTGGCTTATAGAAGCATTACTGATGGGCTGGAGAGATGGCTCAGCAGTTAAGAGCACTGCCTACTCTTCCAAAGGTCCTAGTTTAATTTCCAGCAACCACATGGTGGCTCACAACCATCTATAATGAGACCTGGTGTACACGCAGGCAGAACACTGTATATATAATTAATAAACAAATATTTTTTAAAAAATAAAATAAAAAAGAAACATTACTGATTTTGGATGTTGATTTCAAAAAACTTCACCGAAATTGCCTTTCTTTAAAAATGTATCTTTTCTGATAATACTTTTGTAAGGTCTGTAAGCTTTTCTCCATACTATTGTGCTGCCCGGTCATTGGACCCCTCTGGTTTTGAACACATTTGCTTATACGTGTGTGTACTCTAAAGGGAGAAGGTGATCTACAAATAAGAGAAAAAACCCAGAAATTTTCAAAATATCGCTTCACTCTGATATTGTGTGTTTTCTATCAACACATTGTTTCTAGGAACGAATTTTGCCTTATCTTTTAGAGACAAAGGTATTGCCTCAGTAGTGACTACAAAGGTCCCAGGGCTTCCTATCGAAACCAGGTTTTATGCTCTGTGGACCAAATTAGGCCATCATGAAACTATTTAAAATATAATCAATATCGGATCAGTGAGATGGCTCAGTGCCAAGGAGCCTGACGACCTGAGTTCAACCCTGAGACCCCCCGCCTGGTGGAAGGAGAGAACTTACTCCCCCAAGTTGTCTTTGGACCTCCACAAGTATGCTGTGGCATGTCAAGCTTATGTGAACACACCTTGTGCGTGTGTGTCTGTGTGTGTGTGTGTGTGTGTGTGTGTGTGTTTGTGCACACACATGCAGAGTTACTTGGACTTTTTGCCTGGCTCAAGCAGTCATGAACATTCTGAGCACAGCTTGTCCCACTGACCCTGTTTGCTGCTTTACAATAATACGTTAGCCTGCCTTCCTGCCCGGAAATCTAAGACTACCCATTCTAAAGCTATAAATTATACAGGGAGATCTTCTGGGCAGAGATCAAGCCTGGCTTACTCTGTGGCTTTTATTCATGCCAGTTGCATGCAGCCTGCCTTTTCCTGGAAAGAAGGTTCCTCCCACAGCGGGGCTACAGAGACGCCGTTTACATGATCAGAAACCCAGTTTCATTCCTGTTTCCCTCTTGCCCTCAACAATTAGCCTGACTCAAAATATCAAACTGTCCTCATCCTGCTGGCACTTAACTCCAAGACAGCGAGAACAGGCAGCTCAGAGCAGTGAAGAAATGTCCAGAACCCTTTCTGGATGATTCCCATGTGACCTTAATGAAGCAGAAGGCACTCCCATCAGACCTAAGGGCTTGAAATGGGACTTCCTAAAACTAATCATCCGTGGTTGGAGACCACAGAAATATGAACACAGGGACCCATTTTTCAGACATGCCCATCCTTTGGATAGAGTGTGATTCTCCAGCAATAAGCAATGAAAGGCTGGAAGACTGGAACATTTAGATAATATCTTCTGACCTGTGCGCTTCCAACCTCATGAAAACCCAGCAGATCAGCCAGGATTCTACCATGTTCTGGAGTCAGGAAACGTGAGGGACACCAAAACTGTGCACTGAACACTGGTCCAGACACCAACTAGGATTCTGTTTCTGAAGCTGCCTCCAGATACTTTTTGTTGCTCGATGGTCTTTTTGTTAGTTACAGTTAAGCACAATTTCCTCAAAATGGCTTTAAGTCCAAAGAGATCTGGGATACATATCTGCTATAGAAGCCAATTAGTTGATTCTGAGAGTAACCTAGAGTTAGGAATGGGAAGCCCACCTGCACTGGTTTGTTTTCTGTTGCTGTCATAAAATAGCATAGCCAAAAGCAACTTATAGAAGAGTTTTCTGGGCTTACAGTTCTGGAGAACTAGATGTCTGTAATGACTGGGAAGGCAGTAGGAGCGAGAAACTGAGAGAACACATATTAACCACACACAGGAAGTAGAGAACCAAAAGGGGAAATAAGACCAATGCTATCAACCCTCAAATCCCGCCCCATTGACATGGCATAACTTCCTCCAGCAAAGCTTCACTCCCTACAGATTCAGTGACCTCCCCAACCGGAGACCAAGTGTTAAAATGTAAGAGGTTGGGCTGGAGAGATGATGTTGTGGTTAAGAGCAGTGAGTTCAATTCCCAGCAATCACATGGTGACTCACAACCATTTGCAATGATATCTTGTGCTCTCTTTTGGCCAACAGGCAGACATGCAGGCAGAACACTGTATACATAATAAATAAATAAATTTTAAAAATATGTAAAGGCTATAGCAGACATTTCCCACCCAAATCACAATGCCTCACAAGTGAGAACAGTGTCTTTTCTCTGTCCTGTCCCTTCCTTTCTCACCTATTTTCAATGTGGGTGATGTCCTTAATATTACTACTTGATAGGCCCAGGGGAAGTACAACCCCTTAAGTATAAATATCTTGGTCATGAAAACAGCTGAACTGGGAAGTGTTACTGAACCTCATTCACAAGGTCTCAGATTGGAGACTCCGTCTACATGGATTGGATCAA